CCTAAAATAGAAAATTCCATTAAAGTAGGTCAATAGGGATTGGACACTAATAAACCACTTATTTGAATTGATAGATAAGGTTTGTGGAAATAGTCATTTCTTATTCATGAAACTACTTTACGGAAAATCGTACATATATCATTTAGTTCTAAGGTATTGAAAATATTCTTAAAGAATAAATTTATTACAAGATCTGAGTTTTAATATACTTCCAAAACCAACTTCCCCCAGTCTTGTAAAATGCAGCTGTTTTATTTAAAGCTGAAAAATAAATACCATTGTGCACTCTTTCTTTGTCTTTAGATAAAGGTGGTGGTGTTGATAATGATAAGGATGGTGGTGGTGATTAATTATGATGACTATATATTATCAAATGACTGATACAAAGTACTAGTTGGAAGAACGACTCGCATCATTCAACGATACAATAGCGCTCTTGTACCTCAGTTTAGAATATTAAATTTGGAAAAATAATTTTAAAACATTGGTTTCGTAAAATGATTACGTTTTAGGTAGGATTTTTAAAAATATATTCATTAGTTATTAGAGTCTTTATAATTTTAACAGCATTTTTGTGAATTCAGATAATCCTGAATAATGTTTTTGGGACACTTTCTGATGAATGTCAGACTAACAGTAAAGAGTGTTTTTGAGACAGTCTGGTGGATTCAAGGCTAACTGTGAAAGATGTTTGTTGTGACACAGTCTGATGGATTTCAGACTATTCCTTAAAAATGTTTTTGAGACACAGTCTGGTGGATTCAAGGCTATTTCTGAAAGATGTTTGTTGTGACACAGTCTGATGAATTTCAGACTAACACTGAAAAATGTTTTTGAGACACAGTCTGATGAATTCCAGACTAACCCTGAAAAATGTTTATTTGGACACGGTCTAAATGATTCTAGACAGTTTTCTTTTGAAATCATGGTTACCTAAAATATAAAAATTATCGGAGATATTACAGAGACGAAGTTTAATAACAGTCTTCATGTGTTTAAAATGATGTTCAGCTAACATGATAACCTAATGAGTCCTAGAGTGCTTAAGATGGTATTCAACTAACATAATAATACAACCAGTCCTAGAGTGTTTAAGAAGGTACTATTCAGTTGTCATCGTTTCCTAAATGAAATAGTACTAGTATTCATTAACTTATGCAAAAAGTCCAATAGACAAGAAAGGATATTAATGCTTTAATTACATTACAACTAATATCGAGCGTGCATTATGATCATGTAAGGCGCTTGAATGAATAAGTATGGATGTATGATGTAGTACTTGTAGGACATGAATAGTAACAATTTTGTTATGCTTCCCTAAAGTAATGCAATCTAATCAACATCACAAGATTGTAATTCTTCTAAAACAACAGCATCACTAATGTAAGATAAGGTATACTTTAAATCCCTTGGCAGCATCAAATCAATTTAGTATTTAGCGAACCATCATATTTTGCTGTAGTCGTGAGAGGCCAGATGGCCGATATACGACTTTGATTCATCTTTGTTTTATAACAATCTCACCTGCACGTGTTTGATATTTGAAAGGATGCATTCTCTTTTGAGGAAGAATCTGCCAAAACCCTGTTTCTTTGTCTGCAATACTGGGAAAGCTGTGAGTGGAATCATCGCCATTGTTCTCCATGTCTCCCAGGTTTGGTACCAAATCTCTCAAGTCCTGCAGCAACTGCAGTCTCTGTCAGTATATAACAACATAGACATGCATCCATAAATTACATAAATGAATAAATGTAGTTACTATAACAAGATAGCGGTACCAAGTTTGATATTTCTGCAGACATAATTAGATGTTCAGTTTGTTAACTGCTATGCATTGTCACATCATCAAGAATTTGAAAAGCCTGAAGTTATTCATGTTTAAGAGTAAAACCTAGATACCTGTCTGCCTACCTGCTTGCCTACCTGCCAAAATACATACATACATACATACATACATACATACATACATACATACATACATACATACATACATACATACATACATACATACATACATACATACATACATACATACATACATACATACATACATACATACATACATACATACATACATACATACATACATACATACATACATACATACATACATACATGTATGTTGATATCACAATACTGTGTTGTTTATTCATAAAGTCTGTCGTTCCATCTTACATGTACATCGCAGCTTGACGTTACAATTTAACGTCATGATCACACGTGAGATCGAGACAAAGAATCGTAATCACTGTACCGATTTACTTTAAGATTAACTGATTACCTTGTCATTTAATTCAAGCAGAAAAGACCCTCCTTTAAAGCAAAAAAGTAATAATTTATTGATGCTTGTTGTTGTTTTTGTTATTATGGGGTTGACGATAGGTATACATGAAGACGATTCAGTTCCCTACGTAGTCCCTTGAATTCACCAAAGTGTAACTAATTCCAGAGATCACATGACAGTTTAGAGCCTGTCAGATGAATGAAAGTGTAGCCAATTTATAACATTCGCCTCATATAGAGGTTTACTTTGACCAGTGCATTTGGTATGGTCATTGATAAATATAAGGTGTTCTTTTCAAAGAAACCTGATAAAACTGAGCAATGGCCAAAACAACCAGCACCCATACTGAAGAAAATAAAAAACAGACTGCTGAATTGCATATATCAGACATTCCACTGAAGATACCACTACAAGCTACTGTTGAAAAATTTGAAAAAAAAGTTGAAAATAAAGATGATATTATCGAGATTAGACACATAACCTTTAACTAAGATCTACAATGGAATTCGAATTTTGGAAATAGAGAAAACAATAATGACTGAAGTGAAAAGAGCCTTCTTTCTACACGGGTTTATCACAAAATCCTGGTACAAAGGTTGCATATACAATAGAAAATGTAACCGATGTGGGAAAACAGGACACACTCCTCATAAATGTACACAAAATGCACAGACTCAACCTGAACTCAGCAATAAAATCAATCAAACAACAAATGAAAAACCAGTCCCTAATCAGAGACAAGGAAAGCAACAGAAACAAAAGCAACTAAAAATGAGACAACAGAGCCAACTAATGCAGCAAAGCATTAAAAGAAAAAGTCAACATGAAATAGAGCAACAAAGGAAAGAAGAAGAAAGCAATCAGAGACAAACACGAATACAAAAAAACTTAAGACGGATAGAAGAAACAATACGAGGAGCAGACAACAGAAACAAAATTCAGCAACAGGAACAAGAACAACAGTTTCAGAATTATAACCAACAAATCCAAGCACAGGCAGACGACAGGAAACAATAACAACAACTAAGTCAAAAATACAACCAACGAACCCAAGTAAAGTAATCTAAAACAACAACATCAGGAAACCAAAGTTTTATAGCAGAAATGGAGAGAGAGAGAGAGAGAGAGAGAGAGAGAGAGAGAGAGAGAGAGAGAGAGAGAGAGAGAGAGAGAGAGAGAGAGAGAGAGAGAGAGAGAGAGAGAGAGGTCAAAAGAACCAAAAGGAGAGTGAAACGGAGAAAGAAAGAAGAGAAAGAAAAAGAAATCCAAGTGATGGAAGATTACTTCTGTCAATTGGAAGCAGACGAATATCTAGACAAGTGAAAAAATAAAATAAAAATAATATAAAAATTAAAAAAAAATAAATTAAAAAAATTTAAAAATTAAAAAAATTAAAAAATATATAATTATGCAAACCCTAACAAGACAGAGAACAATAAAACAAACCAAAAATAAGATAGCACATTCTATGCAAATAGGCAGGAGGGCCTCCATAAATGGTCTGCAAAGATCAACTAGGGAGAGCACCCTGCCCCCCAAAAAATGATAAAACTGAGCGAACAATGGCAACCTTTTTCTTGCCAAAACTTGTCAAAGATATAAATGTTTCGATTAAATTTCATACATACATACATACATACATACATACATACATACATACATACATACATACATACATACATACATACATACATACATACATACATACATACATACATACATACATACATACATACATACATACATACATACATACATACATACTTGTTTTTACTGTTCTGTGTGGTCCCCTAGTCTTTAGATATTAAACAGAAGAAAAATATTCGGAAAACTGGATAGAGATCATGGATGTCGTAATTTGTTCAGGCGTGTTATTTTAAAATTTGTTGAGATAATCATATTTGGTTCCTTTACAAAGTATGAGTAATGTAGTTCTCAACAGCTCATAATCTATCTTTTCAATGTTGGTTTTGCAAGTACACGTGGGCATCGATCATGAGTAATCCCATGGAGATAAGCGCTTTTCATCATTCTTCATTTATAAGTCTTTTTGTTAAGTTCAGTAAAATACGCCTGCAAATCTGTATGACTTTTCAATTTTCTGTTTATTATTGTTTGATGGTTAAACATAGTAGTTAACAATCTATTATTTATGCGTAAATTAATTGCAGCTTCTCATTGGTATTTCCTGGGATTTTTAATGGGAAAAGGGTTGTCCTCGGGGACATAGGGTTAATTCCGAAAGATAATAGCATACCGGTCGTAGGTTAGTACACCGCTCCCTTTGATGTTAAGCAATATTGGTTTTCATATCTATTCCATAAAGAACATGCTTTTTTGAATTTACAATTTGTTACACTTTATCAGGAACATTAAAAGCACAATTTTTAATCCTAGCAGATAAAAAGAATTCACGGGTGTTGATGTGTAATGGATCATATCCACTGGGTAGATATAACAATAACAAATTCAGTCATTGATTCTAACGATCAAAGCTTCAGCAATTATATTTTTCACTGTCAAACACAGCGTTGGCTTCGAATTTGAAAAGTACTTTCACTAAAGAATATAAGTGACGTTAGAAAATTTATGGCTTCGAATGAATTTCTTTTCAACACACTTGACAATTACATCCATGATTCGCCACATAATCTAAAATATAAAAACTTTTAAAATAAATTTTATTTCTTAATTGCTTTAAGATGAAAATACTAACAACTCAATGGCCAAGTGGTTAGAGCATCCGCCTCGGTAGCGGAAGGTCGCGGTTTCGATCCCCGGTCGAGCCATACCAAAGACTTCTCAAAATGGTATTAACAGCTACTTCGCTAGACGCTCAGCATTAAGATGTTAGTTTTAGGACTGGTTGTCCTTTTGTCAGGATAATGTGAAAGGGTAGGAAAAGATTTACGTGTCTGCGGCATGGAATCACAATCAACTGCCACACTGCAGACATCGTAGCAATATGACAGATTGTTTTTAAAGCTACCTTAAAAATTCAAATCAAACGCGCGTACAAACCGACACACACACAGGCACACACACATACGCATACACACGACAATACTATGCTATAATAACATATTTTGAGGGTGAAGGCGAAAGTCAGTAGTTAATAAATTTCTTCCTTTATGAATGAAAAAATACTGCACAAGTGAACAAAGAGGTGAATTTTGGATTTTAATAAATACTACATTGATGAACATATAAGCTCATTTTGGATGAAACAAATATTACAGTGGTGAACCCGAAGATCCATTTTTTTCTGTCATTGGAAGAACATTTACAATGGTGGCGAATTCAAATAAACAGACTGAAATTCTGAAACAAATTAAATGTAACATAATGATTTAGAAAACGAATCAAGAAAACGATTCCAAAAGTAGTACGATGAAAAAGAACTAAATGAATTACTACAACTTAAAGAATAAAGAAAATTACTTGGAAACTGGTTGCACTCCCCAAATTTTTTTGATTATAGGATGGCATTTGATAGTTTCGTATATTGACCACTGTCAGATTCCTTAATTTGAGGCTATGATGTGACATTTTAAGATATTATTGTCTGATAATTAAAGATATGGATATATTTGTGAAGCAGGTGCTTCGGGCTCGTGTTTGTTCTTCAAACTGATGTGAGGCATGTGCACCTCCCACAATTACTTCACAGTATCAAGACAGTGATATACAAATAGTCGGATAGGAAGCAGAGCTAGCCACAATGCAATAGACACGTGGGTTCCAGGCAAGCAGAGTATCTCAAAGGCAGCCTGGATGACAATTGTTTTTAATTACATCAAACTGTATATTACACAATGTTTTCAACTAGGAAAGGGACCTGCGTTTGCACCGTGAGGTGGCAGGGAACAGTTTCGTAATTTGGCCCCTGGCAAATTTCTTAGCTTAAGGCCATGGTGTGACATTTTCAGCAATTATTGTCTACTAATTAAAGATATGGATATATTTGTGAACTAGGTGTTTCGGGCTTGTGTTGTTCTTGAAATTGATGTCAGGCATGTGCACCTTCCATAGTTACTCTGCAATATGTTGATAGTGAAATACCAATAGTTGGCTAGGAAGAAGAGCTAGCCTCTCATAGCAGTAAAAACGTGGGTTTGGGGCAAGGAGAATATCTCAAAAACGGCTTGGATGACAACTATTTTTAACTGCATCAGCCAGTTTAGTACACACTATTTTGCAGAATTGTCATATAGGAAAAAAGCTTGTGTTTGCACTGTTAGCACCACATGGTTTCAAAAATGACCTTCGGACATGAAAATTGCAGGTATAAATTTGAGATTGGGGTTCATAAACTTCTTCCGCTATGAACTGCCACTGACGTCTCTGGTCAAGTGGATAATATTTTTAGGCTTTGTTTTAATATAGGTATCTCAAAATATGGACATTCTTGACCTCATCTGTGTATTTGATTTTTTATGATTTTTTTGTACTAGGTTACTGAATGCGGCATTAAATTTGTACATAAAATCTGGCCCCTGCCCCCTGAACATCATCGTGTGAAGAATGACTTTCGGACGTTTATAAAATGCTCGTAAACGTTTGGGGCCTTGGTGTACATATATTGCTTTTGCTGTGAACTTCATTTGACTAATAATATCAAGTGAATGATTTTCTTATGTTTCGTTATATCAAAAAGATAGATATTTTTGAGTCTATGATTTCAATGTTGAATACAACAAATCTCTTTGATCGAATAACTGTATATATAAAATGTATTATATTTTTGGCCGTCCCTTGCATAAGCTCCAATATTTCAATGCAAACTTATACAGGCATTATTTTTCTATTTTGCAAATTATCTTATGCCGAAACAGGTACGGACAAATGACTTGATAGGTAAGTGTACGAAGAGGATGAGATAAATAATAATGAAGGAATAAGAATGGAAAAGGTTGTGATTTGAGTAAGAAACAAGTAAAATCATTTACGAATAATAATAATAATAATAATAATAATAATAATAATAATAATAATAATAATAATAATAATAATAATAATAATAATAATAATAATAATAATAACTTGTTATGATATATTTCTCAGAGCAAAATGTTCCACTTTTAATCCATTGAATAAAATTATATTGAAAGCATTTAAATTTGCACTTTCTCTAATTTTGTTTTAGATTCTGCTTCTAATTAACTGCCACGAACATGAAAACATTCATGAAAAGTTCTTTATTTGATCCTGGAGTGGGAAGATGGTCAGCTGAAATTGGTTTTGAATTCAGAGTGTTGACTTATTTTCCAGCAGGAAATAGTTCCCTGAAATACATGGGTCCATATTGTTTTAAAGTCTAGTAGTTCACTTACTTTTAAGATTTTAATATTATTCTTTATTGTTGGGACTATTTTTTTGTAGTATGTAGAAGAGTTTTTACGCCCTCTATTTTTGCAAGCGGAGTAATTTGCAAAGATTCTTGTCCAAAGTATTTTCACAAAGAATATTAAATTAGTTTAGGTAAGGTTGTATATAGTTTGAATATATTAACCATTGTTTAGTTGATAGACATACCTTTATCTTGTTTAACTATATACATGAATTGATTTTATTTTATATGACTTGAAAATGTTCATTCTATTGCAAACTATTGCCATCCATCAACCCAACCGAAATCGAAACATTATATTGCCACGAGTTTCCATTCAAGCGTGAAATATTCACGATATCTACCCCAGAAATGCAGATTTTTAAAAATTACATTTGTAAACCAAACATCTTTGATCTGCAGCTACTTTTCCCTTTCATTCATTGTATCAGTGCGATTATTGGTTGTATCGATAAAAAAAATTCTGAAATTGTAGAATAATTTTAGGACAGGGACCTTTTACAAATATAGATTTTAATAAAGTATGATTCTTCAAATTGTTTATTTTGTTTTCGTAGGAAAATGAGGAGATTGTTATTCTCGGTAACAGGCTTCTTCCGTTTATTGATATAGTGAACATTACTGTAAAAAGATGACCCAAAGCTCCAAAAGACTTAAAATCGTAACATATTTAAATAATGGTTGCGCGTCTGTTTGTATGATTTTGGTTGCCATATTTATTTCTGCATTCTGAAATGAATTTTGCGTGTTGGAAAGATTGCAGTCAATTTCGGTAATAAACTCTGAATCCAAATGACAATTGGCATGGTTCATATTGAAAACTAATTTTGGAAGTTGATAATTTTGTTGTTTGAAATTAATTTTTAGGAATTCTTGACGGCGCATTCTAAAAATGTATACTAGAGGGTCAGCGGTCGAAAATATTTTAGTAAATATATATATATATATATATATATATATATATATATATATATATATATATATATATATATATATATATATATATATATATATATATATATATTCATCCAGAGAGAGAGAGAGAGAGAGAGAGAGAGAGAGAGAGAGAGAGAGAGAGAGAGAAGAGAGAGAGAGAGAGAGAGAGAGAGAGAGAGAGAGAGAGAGAGAGAGAGAGAGAGAGAGAGAGAGAGAGAGAGAGAGAGAGAGAGAGAGAGATTATATGCTGGACCTTTGTAATTGGGAGTTAAGACTTACCTTACTACTCTTATATTTATTTTATTTGTAAGCTATAAGTAAGTTGTTTACTTTGGTTTGAGTTTTAAATCTAAACTTTATTATGATCTTAGACGGTTCTAGAAACGCTTATGTTTACATTTTGGAGGTAATTTTTATTACGATAATTGTGTTAAGATGTAATTTGGAGGAAATATTCATTTAAATTATTAAATGGAATTACAACGTGCTCATCGACAGTTTGACTAAAACATTATATTGGGATTATTGTACTTTTATTCTAGGACAATCTGTTGTATTATATCGCTGTGATATAATAAGACTGTTGAAACATTAGCTCAGTCAAGGTTGTTGATACATCAGTACATTCAAAACCTGTAATTAATTTGAAACATTCTATACTTTTTGACTTGTGAAAAAACCTAGGATAACTTAGGAGTTCATTCACAATACTCTAAGTTCCTTTTAAATTTTTCTTTGTTTTCTTAGCGAAATGTATTAGTTTTTTTTTAAAATTCTATTAAACTTGTTGGTTTTTACATTTATGTGTTTTAGTTTAAGAGTAGAGTCGTGACATAATCCAAACTATGGAAATAAAAATCTGAACATGCCTAAGAGGAGACTCTTTTTTTGCTATACAGAAAAAGTAGTTCCAAAAGTGATATCGCCCCTGTAGCAATTAAACTGATATCACTGTGTCGATATAACTTTTCTCCTTAAGATATAATTCAATACCTCATTAAGAAATACATAATAATAACCATAGACAGAAGAGTAAATTTTTGTTGTCACAAAATAGTTTGCAAAAAAAGTAAAGTTTTCATATTTGGTATTGTACAGATAAAAAAAAATTGTGTGAGCTCATCGTGTTTGGAGTTTGCGATGGGTTTCTTCATTCTGAAAGCTATACCAAAACTTTACATTGAATGTTTATACTGTTTCAACATTCTCATAAAAAAACATGGCCTTCTTGGCTAAATTCAGTGCCGTTATAAGGCATAGGCACGCGAGGCATGTGCCTAGGGTCTCGCGGCAGCCCCAAAACCAAATTTCGGTGCTGGTTGTGTTAGCAGTTTAGTGTTTGTGCCTAGAACCCAAAAACTTCTTAAATCTGCACTGGCTAAATTTTATGTTTTGAATGATGTTTTGGGATAGTTACACGCATCTAGTTTAACTAAAGAAACATTTAAAACAAATATAGAAAGAAGTAATTGAAAAGGAGTCATATAAAATACCTCAAGGCGA